TTCAAGGAACAGTATGAAGATCAGCCGTCATTGAAGACGGTGCTCTCTACCTCAACCTGTGGTTCAATGATAGGAATTAGTTTCTTCGCTTCTGTCTCCTACTGGGTACATGATAAGGGTGTTCCCTGTCCAAATATCCAAATCTGAGGAAACTATTTCTTATTTTGTGAAATCAATATCGTAATTTGTTTCTAGTTTATAAAATGTAAATACAATTTTACATAGTGTTAATAGTTAAACTTTAAATAGTGTGATTTTTTTAATTGTAATTGTGTGAATACTTCAACTGTAAATATTATCAATTTTTTTTTTACAGTTAAATACATTTGTCATGATAATTTAGATAATATGTTTAAAATGTACATAGCGTGTGATTCATGTTACCTTAAGTCCTTTGTTTGGATCTTCTCTATGGTGTTTCACGCGTCTTCCAAACAACGACTCATCAATCTCGATTGTATCATAAAGTTTTTACGTTTGATGGTAACCGTGGAATACTCTTTAAATAGCTCCCGGATGAAGGACCCCCCAGTGGACTGCTGTTGACCTGTACGCTACCCCTAGCAGAGGACTTTAAAACCATTTTTCCCTACCAATCATCTACGTTGCATGAAATGATGTTGGGAAGGAGACCTTGCATCCGGAACCATTGGCTATCTGGCAACATCATCAGGGAATAAAAATTCTAATGATTGTTAAAGTCCCGCGGTGTCATCTCTATTAAACATCCCTTTTTCCTCTCCCTGAAGTTTCCCCCGATTTTTCTACATTCGGCCATTAATCAGCAGTTTTGAATCATGCAGTGATTTGGTTAAGTGAAATTCTGCTTTAAATACTATTTACCTTGCACCTGACTTCTCGTGAGTGAATATGACGTAAAATTACTCACTAACCAATAAAATATAAGCGGATCTAAGATTTTTAAGAAAATACTACAAACACAGAAGGAGTAATAAAGATGTAATTTGTTTCAATTCCTTTTTTTCTTTTGTTACATATTGCCTTCGTCTGCCATCCAGGAATTGGTTTTGTTTCATGGCAACGTTCCACGCATATAACTTGTAGTTCTTCCCCCCTTCATAGAGTCTGAAAATGCTGATATGTTTTTACTTATTCGTTTTTAAGTATCTTTACTTATTACTTACGTGCATTATAATATTATCAGATTTATAACACCGTTTATGCATGGTTTAAGACAATTTACCTGAACAAGGCAGAGAAGAGGTTTTTAGCAGCATTGTCTCTACATAAATGGCAACAACTCGGCCCACTGCATAAAAATCTCCGGATTCAGCCCGTTTACAAAGGCAAAAGTTTCAATTAAGATCCTTTGAAAATATATAGTCTATTTGTGTGCCGAGTTATATTGAAATTGGACCAAAAATGTTTCTATAATGTGTTAACATTCTCCCTCCAACATGTCCAAATTACAAGTCTGAAAAGAAAGAAAAAAATAACTTTATACATGTATATACTGTTTTTTATCAAACCAGTTGAAATATGTTGGTTTTTAAGTGTATTTTCAAGCTCACCATGAAACAAAAAATAAATCCTTGAACCATTCAATCTCAGATCTGGTGGAAGAAGCGTCTTTTTAATGCTCTAACTTATCTCTCCCTCTGTCCATTGTCCATTTTTCGCTGGAAAGTAGAACTGAACAAAGTGCTCTTGAACCTAAAATGTACAAAGCTGAATTGTGAATAAACGTAAACGGTATCAATATCAAGCAGTTTAAAGAGAAATTCTTGTTTTTCCTACCATGGTTACTGGGATAAATTTTTGAAGATCTATCTGGAAGAAAAACACATAATACAATGCCGTTGAAATTTACTTGAACATTTCCTGTACTATTCAGCTTATATGAACTATTTTTTTATTTAAATATATCTGAAAAAAAGTCATTCTGAATGCAGATGAAAAGAAAACAGTAAACATAACGAATTTCATGTACATGATCAACAAAAAAAAAATGTAACAGAAACACTTCTTTACTCACCACAGCAGGCAAAGAACATTGACCATGGGCAACAAGTACATATTGCCCAGCAAAATACCTTAAATAACCAGGATATTATATCATTCCACCTTTATGCCTAATTTAATGCATTATGTTGATATATAAATTTTTTTATGTTTGATTATGTTATCGTATCATTTTACCTTTCTTGACCCTATATAATGGCTGGGCCCTGTATGGTCTGGAACTCCCCACTCTCCGTGACTAGTGCTTCCTGAGACTGCTCTAAAATGGTAATTGATAATTGACAAATTCTGCCACAACTCTCCAGCTCTGAAGGTGCAATTTTTTTCTTAAAGGGATGGAGGATAGCATCTGCACGCACATTCCCAAGCTCTGATGTTTCTTAACGGAGACACCGCACAGACAGCTGAAAGTTCATATGCGCTGCTGTCCGGCTTCAAACTAACGTGCAAGCCCATCACCACTAAATACTTCCTTTTAATGTGTCTTACACCGTCATGGATCGTAGGTTTGTTAATCAGGCGAAGATCTTCAAATCGCGTTTGTATATAAGAAAGCTGGTCAAGATCACTGGATTTTGACTTTCCTAAAATGTATAAATGGGGTCTGTCCACATCTGACTGGACATCAATAGGTGGCCTGCTTGATCTTGTACTCATCATTTGTAACGTGTACTGACTGATCATGGGAAAAAAAACTCTCTTATAATTTAATTGAAATAAAATAAACCATAATAATAACATAACGATGTTTCAAGGATGGCGATTTTGCTTTGTTTATGTAATTCATTATTTAAAAGATGGCGATTTACCTTTACAGAATGTTTAAAACCAACAGGGAAAGAAAATCACTAGGCTATAAGTTTTAATTAATTATTATCAAGTTTACTATATGTGTTATCTGTATGAATATTATATGACTTTTACTACAAGGTTGAGTTCAATAAATTAATATTGAACACCAAGAAAATCTTAAACGATATTAAGGATGTTTTGTGCCAATTCTTTATCATAAACATACTCCAGGCGCGGATCCAGGATTTGGAGTGGGGGGGGGGGGCAATCCGCCACTGTACTCTGTTTAGATGTCTTCAGTTGCATAAAATAAAATGAATATTTGAAACTATACGATGATAAGTAAGTAAGTTAAAAAAATGTTACCTACCGGTACTTATCATCAGTTGTAAGCCGCTAGCGTTCTCGCTTCTGCATCAACTTCACAACTCCCTAGACTATCATATAGTCAATTACATCACTTCCTCCCGATTCACGTGTATGTTTTCTAATCTCTTTGTCTGCATGTAATCTACCATTCACGATCCTAAGTTTGAATGATTTGCACATGTGCAATAACATAATACCGAACGATTTTTTTTGTTTTGTCCTCTGAAGAGCGTTCCATTTTATTTAACTCTCAAATATGGCACGATGGTACCCAAACCAGAATTTGATGTGCAACGGTTGTGAAGAAAATGAACGAAAACTAAATGGACCGAAAAAAGCAGCAAAGCAATATGCTTTCCCTTCTTCGAAGGGGGTATAAATATTGGTGGCTACAGACCTGAATATGGGTCAGAATTTCCAAATTAGGGTGAATTCACCATGCATCGGACTCATACCTAACCTCGGACAACTTCAATCAATAAATCTTGAACCAATCTGTATGATTTTTTGTTTTGACTTGTGTTTTCTCAAAGTCGAAGATTTAAACTTTTTAACGATGCTGATTTTCATTATCACGTGATAATACAAGCACCATCATAAGGGCCTTGAAGTGACGTCATTTTGTACATCATCAGAAGGTGAGTCATCAAAATTTTACGATTTTGTAAATGTTTAGAGTTGTCTTTCTTTTACTAGGCTTATTGACTATAGCCGATTCTGACGACTTTTGTTGAAAAAAGCTTTTATTATATAAATTTACGATAAATTTCATAAGAAAATTTACATTATTTTTCATAGCGTTGATTTTTGCTTGTATGTCTAATTCACCTTGCATCGGACATAAATTAACCATGCATCGGACGTTGTCCGATGCATGGTTAATATTCCTTTTTTATAAATAAATAGCACATGCTAATCAATATTGCTGGAACAAAATAAGCTCAACACATTCAATGAAAATATAGACATTTAATAACCGAGTAAATCGATATGTTAAAATATATAAATTGAACATCTGGATTCAATAAAGAAAATAACCGAACAATAATAAAATTATAGATATAAGTAATTCGATAAAGTAAAATTTGCCCATACTGTAGAAACAGGTTAATGCGCAGTAATTTAGCATTTTATTACTATCTTATACCCAGGTATAATTCGGGTGTACATTGGAAGCGATTAATTGGCCCAGTGTTCTATATACTTTTTTTTATCATATATAGTTTTTTTTCCGGGGGGGGGGGGGGGTCTTCCTCCTCTGCGCCTACACTTAACGCACTTCTAAGATCATTGTCCTCTCCTAGACGAAATTGTAGGTCTTCCCCCTTTTGCCACAATTATATGCTATTGTATATAAGATCTTGTCTGTTTTGCAGATCAAAAATCCCTTTTCTTACTTCCAAAATGAAAAACGTAATTATCAAAAACGTCTATGCGGTGGGAATGCATCACTGGGGTCCTAGACAACTAGAAGTGGGCTCGCTTTACTTCTTAAAATTAGATGATGATAATCCCCGAGATCGGAATGCAGTTGCCATATGTGATGACAGACAGACAACACGTTGCAAAGCCTATCTTAGACGGAGTGATGCCTCTAAAATCTCTCAAATAGTTCGGGAAAATCTTGTCCATGGTTTCCTTTACTTAAAGCCCAAATCCGGACTTGATCGCTTCAGTCAAAGGACTGGGCCTTTGCAAAAGTGCAATGTTGGTTTTAAAACACATGACAATGACATTGAACGAGTTCATCAGTTGTTGAGCGAAATGTCTTACATTGTGTATTAAAGTAAAAGGAATTAATTATCAGAATTTGTTAGTTTTTTTTTTCTTGCATTTCAGTGTTATACAGGGTCATTATGGCTCCAGTTAAAAGAAATAAGTGGAACCAAGAATCTATGGCAGCGGCAATAGCCGATGTGAAGGCTCGTAAGCTCTCCATTCATAAGGCCAGCCAGCATTATAATGTGCCGAAATCGACTTTGCATGACCGCATTTCAGGCCGAGTGAAGGAGGATACAGTAAATGGAAAACCTCCTATTTTATCATCGGCTGATGAAAAGCAATTAATCAAAATTGCTACAGAGAGAGCAGAAATGGGCGTTGGCTTCAACAAGTCAAATTTTAAACGCGCCGCTGCAGCGTTGGCAAAACAGCGAGGGGCATCCTTCAAAAAGGGAGTGCCATCTGAAAAGTGGTGGACTCTCTTTAAGAAACGAAACGGCGGCGAGGTGTCCCTGCGCCAGCCTGAGTCTACCGCTAGCATTAGACACAAGACTATGACCAAAGAACGGACCAATAAATACTTCACTGTATTGAGCGAAGTATTGACAACTTACGGACTGGACGGACAACCAAACAAGATATGGAATATGGACGAGAGTTTTATTTCATTATCATCTGATAGTTCCTTGGTTGTGACCAGGTAAAAGAACAATAAATAAGCATTAACCCCTCACCCACCCACCCCCTTTTTATGCTACATATTTCAGATTCCAACGTTTACTTAAAATGAAGGGTCATGACCTATAAAGATCAACCTGTAATTCTTCAAAGAGGAAGAGTTCCATTTCAAAAACAAGAGGTCCATGGACCACATCGCTCACCTGAGCAGAAAGCGGAAATCAGTTTATCCCCCCCACTCCCCTATTGTAAGAGTGGAAACAGGGAGAATTTATTATATAGCACTAGTATTAAAATAATTTATCAATTACCATTGATCTATTCTTTGTTTTGAACAAGAGGCTCACGGACATTAAAGGTCATCTGAGTATCATGTAACAACTCTTCAACTCTAGGAACTTAATACAACGAGGTAGATCAGAGTAACCAAGAGAAAATGCACTTCCACTTTATAACCAGTTATGCACCCCACCCCACGGGAACCACCGACCCTGGGGCCACATATTTAAAAATTTTGGAAATTTTATCATAAATTTTATTTCCTCATAAATGTTTGATTAATAAAAAACAGCAGATTTCAAAAGCATTCACTTATTTTCAGACTATGTACTCCTCCCCCCCTCCCAAATACCCTTGACCTAGGGGGGATGAAATTAAACATTTTGCTAGATGCACCTTTCTTCATCATAAATATATAAACTTAGATCATTGGTATAATACCCAGAGGCAAAGGAAAAGATTGTCAAATAATTAATGTATTTTCACTATAAAATCAATAGAGCACCCCCCCCCTTACACCAAATCACAATTCCTCTATTCTTCCTTAGAAGCTGTGTACCGAATTTGGTTGAAATTGGTTCAGTGGTTTCAGAGAAGAAGCTGAAAATGTTCAAATGTTAACATAAGACGGACAACGAGCGACGACTGACGAAAAGGGATAGCAATTATAGGTGACCTGAGTGCGCAGGTGACCTAACAGTTTAAATTTATTGGCAAATTCCATCAGTATTGAAATGTACAGGTGTAAAAATGCAGGCGGAAATTTCAAGTAAGCATAGTTGTTTGAATCTGCGCTACCTGAGGATACTTCTATATTAATATCAATCATGGTTTTGCTGATTTTTGCAGATTATTTTCAAGATGATCTGTATATATTATGCAAAATTTTGCCCAGGAAGGGGGGATCATAATCAAAACAAATTTTATTCTAAAATACCTTAGTTTGCTTCTTGATAAATATGATTGACAATGGCTCAGCTATTCTTCAGATTTCATTCTTTACTGCAATTTAACAATTTTTTTCTTGAGTCATTTCTTCTTTTAAAAATCTTATTAGAACTGGCACAAAGTACATCCAGTCCAAGACTGGAAGTAGGGAGCATGTTACAATTCTTGCCTGTGGGAGTGCTGCTGGTAAATTCATACCACCCCATTTCATTATGAAGGGAAAAACACAGGTTGCCCTGAGATCTTGGGATTCTGAAAATGCCCCTATTGGTTCTTTTGTCAGTGTGTCCGACTCTGGATGGATAAAACAGGTATGGTATTAATAGAAATTTTAATTTACTTCTATATCTCAATATTTGATATAATTGAATAAAAAATACATGTATATTTCAACAAATATTATAATGACTTTCATTTCCAACTTTTACTTTTCTTCCCATAGGGTTTGTCGCTCTTATGGTTTCAGAAAGTTTTTCTGCCGAACATAGGTCCTGAACGTCCACAGATTTTAATATTTGATGGACATGATAGCCACCATCATGTAGAGCTTATTGAATGTGCTCGAGAGAACAACATTGTACTGATGGAAATACCAGCTCATTGCTTTCATTGGCTACAACCATTAGATAGGCATGATTTACTTTCCTCTTTGTGAAATAATTAGCTTACTCATATATATCCTTCTCTTTGCTATGATCATATCAAATTTCAGGTCTGTGTTTGGGCCCCTAAAAAAGAAATGGCGTGAAGTCAATACAACTTTCATTATGGAAACTGCCTGTCCCATCACACATGGAAACTTCTTCCGCCTTTTCTCAAGAGCGTGGAATAGTCTGAAGCCTTCATATCTTATAAATGGGTTTCGGGTTACTGGAATATCACCACTTGATCCTGCAGCAATTCCTGAGGAAGCCTTCCTCCCATCAAACGTGTATGCTGACCCTGCAGGTATATTGGAAAAAGATCTTTATTAAACAGACACTGTGCCATTAAATGGCTTATATGTATATATTTACATTTGCAAATGTTTTCCCTTAAATAACACTAGTATTTGAACAAGGCATTTTTACATCTCCTTAAAACATGTTCATGTGACCATAATTTTATTTTTATCCTTGAGCCATTGTAATAGTACTTAATTTACATCATTCATTCAGCAACACTCAGATGATTCCATTAATTGCCTTCATCAAACCTTGGCTGTACTAGCTACATGTAGGTTAACTTGTTGACATGCATATATCCACCTAGCATTTGTGAAATGGCTGCCTTTTTACCCCTTTAGGAACATGAAACACTTTGAAAAGGACAATAAACAAGGATTTCTCATATGCTCAAAATCTTCAAGAACAGTAAGGCAACATTTAAAATAACACTTTCCATGAAACATGTAATAAGTATCTTCACAAAATTACATTTATCAAGGGATAGAAATCAGCACATCCTGCATATACTACAGAGTGCAGCCATATTGTCCATAAAATAGCCCCAATTCAAGAGTGGTTTACATGATACAGCCGAGTTAAGATGAGGTACAAATCAACTGAAGTGTACTGAGTGGTACATATATATACATGATTATGAAATTTACTATGTGACAAGGATAATGGCAGTGGATCTACCTTATCTGCATTTCCACTGATGTCAGAACTGTCAAATTCCACACCCGGGATGGCTGGAGAAAGTCCACCTGCTCCAACACCTTCTGGTAGAGTGTTCAAAGTGTCTTTGTGCTATATTAAAAACAATACTTGACTATTCCAAGGAACACCTGCTATCACCTACAATAGCATCACTGAAATTAATAATGAAAAAAAAATATAAAGTTACAAACAGACAAATGGAACACAAAACATTTTTCACCCCTCCTCCCATCACATTCATGGGTGGAAAATGTATAAAAAAAAATTCTTTCTTCGTAAAATGTAGCAATCAATTTAATTTAGAAATTGAGCTCTTTACTAAATTGAATTACTGAAATATCAATTATTTTTTTCATACATTCAACATTGATTATATGTTCAAGCCTACATTCTCTCAGATTCTAAACTTAACTGGGTTAACTCTCTCTGTATTCAAGAATTTTTAGCCCACAAGTTTGCTTGTATTTATTTTTCTACCTTTAATGGAATGTTATCAAAATTAAGTTTGTGGTATGTGCATACATGTAAATTACAATACAGTTTGAAAATAGTGTATACTATGGTAATTTTATATACTAGGTAAATTTAGAAAATGATTAAACAATGCATGTAATTACGTTTACAGACTGACAATCACATTATTTTTTTTTTCAATTTAGAAAATAAACTTACAATAAAACTATAAATTACTTAAAATTACAACCAGTCGTTGAAGACATTCCTCAGTTTTCTGCTGAGGAGGTTCAGGCATTATTGGACATGGGGTGTTCATTTGTTGATGTTGGGCCAACTCCTCAACCCATTGCTGTCACAACTGAAGGTTCAAGTGACTGTCCTCCGGATTTAGCTCTGGCTGCCATTGAGTGCTCAATACCTGAAGACAAAAAGCTTCTGTATGAGACCTGTTTCAATTATGGAATTTCAGTGGTTGATGATCCTCTATTTCAAACATGGAAAACATTAAAGTCTAAGGTATACTCCAGTTTAATTTCTATACATGTAACAAAGGGTATGTTTTGTAGTTGAATAAATAAATTCCATATTCAACTACAAAACATTGAATTTTCTATTTATTAAAATTTCTACGATTTTCCCTTTGCCTATTTGTCTTTTTTGTGATACAGTCATAGGCTACATGCTGTCATACATGTAGTTGAGGTTGAGCGGTTGAGAAAGTTTGATCATGTAACAAACTGCTTGTCATTGAAAATTGAATTTCAATTTTATTAGCATTGTTATATAAGGAAAGATATCAGCAAATGTAAAATATTTAACAATAAAAAATGTTTTTCCATTATTAGCTACAAGTAGTTACCGATGACTCAACAAGCATTCTTTGAGATATTCCTAGAGTGAAGGCTCCAACTAAACCAAAACATCAAAGAAGGATGGGTTTTTTGTCTTAACCTGTGATGAGGCATACAAGGCTAAGCTTCTGAAAGAAGAAGAAAAAAAGGAGAAAGAAAGAAAAAAGAAATTAAAATCTGAGAAAAAAAAATGTTAAAAGATCATAAGAAAAAAAAATAAATAACAAGTTTCAGATGTCTGAATCTTGTTGAATTACAAAATTATTCATTTTATAATTTGATCAATCATTTTTACCCTTTAAGGCTATCAAAAATATATGTGTTTCCAGTTACTCGACCTGCCGTAATTTTTATCAACAAACTCATTCATTTTAATCATACTGACAGACATCGATAACACATATACTTCGTAGCGTAGTGGTTAATTATTGTGCCAAACCCTGAAAAATCGAATCTTACAAAAATAAAGATGAGTAAAAAAAATAAATTATTAATACAATATTAAAACCATGAAATTCAGTAATTGCATTAAAATTATAATTTTGTTTAAACAATATCGCTTTCATGAACTTTTAGCATTGAGAAATGTTTTTTCTCAGAGCAGGGGATTGACATCGCCTTATATGCCTCCATTCTTTGTTTCCATGACCATTTCTTTCTCTTAGTCTTACGAAATCATAATGGTGCACTTGCTGACTGCAAGAAGCACTGCTTGAAAAAACACCTTTACAAAACTTTACTTGCAAAGTAAATTTCATTAAAGGTGCTCCAAAAAGCAAGGTCATCTTTGTATTAACTTTACAAAAAGTAAAGGTGAAAAGGTAACCTTTACTTGCACGAAAAGATAATTAAATATAACCTTTCACCTTTAATGCCATATTAAAGTTCATAAAATATACATATTTTATAAAAGTCTTATTTAAATGCTGACTATTGTCTAATACACTTATTCTTTGGATTTTCAGTTTGTTCAAAGAATCTAATCTAGTCAGTACCCAGAATTTTAAGAAAAACGTCAAATATTTTTTTAATTATCTTGAATCCATTTCCAGTTGAAATTAGTATTAGAAATGGTCATCTACAGAATCAAACACTCGACTCATCATTATTTGACAGACTACACCTCAAATAATACAACACCTATGCTGTAAGCCAGGTTAGCTTAGTTGGAGCAGCTGGCGTTTATTTTGATAAATGTAACAATACATAAATATTTAACATACATTACATTGAATGTGAAACAATAAAGCACTGCAATGCATTTGTAAAATATTTTACATTTAATAAATAGTATCTCTATCACTGACATTAAAAACCGCCCAGGCAAAAACCATAGATGGTTTACTATGGAAAACCTGTGTCCGTCGCTATGTAAATAATGTCTCAAGGGAGAATGCCGGACGTGCATTCGGTGCAATAGTTAAAAATGCAGGAACATCCTATAATATTTGCATGTATGAAAAAATCCAAATTAAAATACATTTCAACAGTTTTGTTATTTCCATTACCACTATATTTATACAAATATGATATATAGATTATATATAAAGCAAAAAAACCTGTGTTTATTGAAGAGCACTGGCTTAGAATGATTTGAACACCTTACTGAATACTCATTTCTCATTGGCCTTCCTTTGGCCATGCCCACATATACAACCAAAACAATTAATATAGGTTCCTCACATACAATGTGTTCCCGCTATACTACAAAACACAGGAAAAAAATATTATCTGCACCAGGATTGCCTACAAATCTCTGAATTGGATGGCATAGATCTTTAATATGTACATTGATATTAATGATAGAGTAATTAATAATATAACAATGGGAAAAATTGGCATATTGATAATTTTCATTTTCCAAACAAAAATGATCTAAAATATTCTGCATTTTTGCTTCTCATCATATGATGAGTCAGATATACAGCACAAACAATATCCAGTTATAACCTTGAATATAAACATTATATTGAGCTATCTTTGTCTTTTGTTTTCCTTTAAACATTCAGATACATGTGAGAAAAAAATAGAAAAAAATAATACAGATGATAAGTATAAATTTCACATTTCTGCTTTTGAAATGGAGGTCTCATTTCACTTTAAAATATAATACCGGTACATTATTTATTCTTAATGGTGCATGTACATTTATAAAATAAACTTTGCAGTTTAAATAGAATGTGGAAAAAAATTACATAAAAGGCTATTTGATTTGCACTTATATACAGGCTAATAACATCTTCAACTTGTAATGCAAAATGATGCATTTTACATATTCACAAACTCAAAAAATGGTGAAAAATCTAATAGAATATATGCGAGGATGCAGTTTGCAAAATGCATGAGATCATGTACGAGTCCAGCTTCACCCCGTGAGCCTGTCTGTGCTTGATTAAGTTTAGATTATGTTTTTATGTCTGTGGTAAATGTTAGTGTGTTTGCATATGTGTCCAGCTTCACATATTTTCATGTATGTGCTTGGCTTCACACGCCTTGGAAAATATGTAATAGGTTGTGGCAGATGCATGTGTATTTGTGTATGTGTCCAGCTTCACACACTTTCATGTATGTGCTCGACTTCACACACCTTGGAAAATATGTAATAGGTTGTGGCAGATGCATGTGTATTTGTGTATGTGTCCAGCTTCACACACTTTCATGTATGTGCTCGACTTCACACACCTTGGAAAATATGTAATAGGTTGTGGCAGATGCATGTGTATTTGTGTATGTGTCCAGCTTCACACATTTTCATGTATGTGCTCGACTTCACACACCTTGGAAAATATGTAATAGGTTATGGTAGATGTATGTTTGCATATGTAATGTATCCAGCTATACGCGTACACTTTTTCATGTGTGTGCTCGATTTACACGTCAACATAATAAATTTTAAAATATGTAATCATGGTGGTGTAAAAGGTTTACAAGTGTATGATCATGATGCACAAAGAGAAAAAAAGTTCTGTGTGGTTTGTTCTGCAAATCTGCATATAAATAAACTACAATTATGTCCTGTTGAGAAACTGACAATCATAATAAGTAACATATTCATTTTACATAACTGTACTGAAAATTACACATCCAGTTTAAATTACTGTACTGAAAATTGAATTTGTGCAAAAACTCTCTGGCTGAATAACATACAAAATCATGAATGCTTGCATGTTCATCTATAAATCTCCAAGATATTTCCTAGTTAGCTTGTAGCGCCCCACCGGGCAGTCTTACAACACATTTCATAATCTCAGTTTGCATTTATAAATCAATTTATCCTTGTTCCTCATATCTTGAAAATAGATGCCGAAATTCTAGTCTACAGTTTATTTACACAGCACATCACAAATAGAAACATTCAGGAAAAATGATTCACAAAAAATAAAATCCAAGTAAAATATTCACATGTACATATAAATCCGAGAAATATAAGGTAATATTCCAAGTAAGTATGTAGCTTTATCTATCTCTAACATTTCTATCTACTAAGTCTTCTATATTTCCATCTTCCTATCTTATTCTAAAATTCTGTCGCACTATAGATATACTCAAGATCTGCTCCTGACGATCAGGAGCACATTATAAGATCCTTAAGATCAAGAGTCAATACACAGGTCATTAGGATCAGCAGGGAGTTATATAAGAGGGGGCAATTAATATACAAATAAGATGATAATGTGTGAACAATTAAGTAATGAAGAGTTATATTAGAGATTAGATATTCTAAATCACTACAAGTTTACAAATTTTTGATCATATCATTGATAACAGTATATATTCTTGACAACTGTATTGGATTCCCCTCTCTGACATCTTTTCTTGTTCACCAATTAGTTCAACAGTCATCTGGGTACTCAGGTGTTGTACAAGTCCTAAAAAATCATTTTCAAAATTATAAAGAAAAACAATACAATTTTTAGATAGGTTTTCATTATTACTTCTATTGAAATTAAAGCACAAAATTTTGAAGACATACTTAAGTAACTTAAAACATGTATAACTAAACATAATGGAAATTTAGACAAAGCAACTCAATGTCAAACATATGTAACATCTGTAATATCCATGAAACTTACTGAGATACTTAAAATGTTTGTGGTGTGCTTTCACTAAGCTTAGCAATATATAACATTTCTTGATTACAGTTGAAGTCCAGTTCTCACCTGACTTGCACATTCATATGGATTGGTTCTATGTTGATAATCTCTTTCAACAATCTTCATCACAACATCTGAAAGTAATCAACCTTCAAAATTAAATCTGACGCTCACCTCAGGTGCATACAGACTCCCTGTACATTGTACAAATGCATGGAAAATGAAATTTTGAATAAAAAATGAATTATCTCTTCACCATACCTGGCCTCTTTAAAAAATGTGAGGAAATAATTTAAATATATTCTTTACATAAAATCATGAAGTGAGTATCCAACTTACGCATCTCTAGAAATATATATAATGAAAAATAGTTTATTTAATCAGTTACAAGGGGGATGTACGGCCACCTTTAGTGCAGTGAGAGCAAAATGTAAACATTTCTTCAAATGGCTAAAATACAATATATTTTGATCAAATTTTAAGTCTTTTTGATAAAAATACAATAAATATGCATAATCGAATGCATGTTGTGCATATATAATCTATACTTTTGCAGAAAAATGCCTTTGATATGCCTTAAGAACTGCGCAGCTACAGAAAAAGCCTTAAAAAATTTGCAAACTGTGCATTAATGTTATCTCTACAACCCTGCACTTTTAAATGATTTTCAAGTTCAAAACAAAGTAATTCAGGGACTTATATATTATATTATATATACTTGTTTTATATATATTATAACTTAATGTAGAAGAGAATAAGTTGCAAAATATAAAATAATATGAACACTTTTAACATGTTATAGTGTGTCTTGAAGTTATTTTTTATTTGAACATAATTTTTTTTTCTTGCCCATATCTCTTTCAAAAACTTTAAAGAGAAAAAATCCACCTTCAAACATTTTTTCTCAAACTCAGGAAAAATGTTTATATTGAGAAAAAAAATCCTTAAAATTTCAAATGTTGGAAAAAAATTTTGAAATAAAAAATGATCTCATTTATACCATGACCTGGCCAAATATTTTTATAACAATGTGAGTTATTATAAGGCTAAATATATTCATCACATACTTAATCATGCAATTTTTTTTAATACAATTTGAAAAAAAAAAAGGATTTTGTTAGCAACTTTTTTTTATATTGAATGCAAAATTGCAAACATTGGCTTCTAAATTTTGAAAACAATTAAGTTACTAAAGATGTAAAATGGAGATGAGTTGTCAACTGTGATGGTGAACATGACATACAATATCACAAAGTTTTACCTCCTTAGCAAAGCATAACTCCTATTTTTTCTGATCTACACAAAATATACATATGAAAATTTTAAAAATGAGAGCGATTGTTTAAATTTTCAAATTAAATGTATCCTCCTTGTGCCCCATTTGAAAATAACTATCGCCACAGAAAAAAGAACTATAATGTCAGGACATTTTTATATTTCTGCCAGTGTTAAAGAAACCTACAAATTATCCAAGATCACGAAAAATTAAATAAAATTGGTAATAAACGAATCTACAGCAGATATATTCACATGCCAACCACTTAATGGAAAAATCGGAATGCCCATTGAAAACAAAATGCCCCTTCAACGGACTTTAAATGAATTTTTAAAGATTAATGCAACTTAAAATTTTCATAAATATATATGATTATTACCATAATTAACTACCTGTTGTTTCTCCTCTTTAAAAAACTCTGTGTGAGGAAATATACACATCTTACATGAAAAATATATTATTTACATAAAATAATTGATAGCTATACTGAAATTAATCCATTTTCAACAATGAATGGTACACAGTCAATTAATATATCAAAAAAACTTAATTGTTTCATGTCTCTAGAAGTTTACATTTATCTTTGAATGAAAAATGCATTTATTTCTTTCAATAATTCAAAATCTGTGTAAAAAAATCAAGAATTACCTAAAAACTGTGACTGGTGTCTCAGGCATGACCAATAAACACAAGACCTTTCCATCCTTAGCAGCATGCATTAGCTCCACATTCCTTGCTTCTACAAAAATATACAATGAAAATTTTAAAAATGAGAGAGAAAAGTGTTACATGTACTTGGGGGAACAGAGGAAGGAATTTTGAAGTCAGATTAATTATATTTCTGCCAGTGTTGGGACGGATAAATTTCCATAATAAAATGAAACGAATTATTCGCAACAAAAAAGACACATGTATTACCTTGCAGTCACCGTCGCACATAATGTATACAACTGACAACATCCCAAAGCTCTTTCTTTGTTTACTTGGCGGAATTTTCTTTGCATTCTAGACTGGTTCCCTGCTCTGGTTCCCATACATTGCCGTGAATAAGTCCTACGTTTATTGGTTTTATTTACAAGCTTCAACATCAATAAAATCTCTAGCACATTTACAGCCTGTATCGTAAACTACACTGAAAAAATACTTAACACACTGTTGTCAGCTCAGTATTATGTTTTCCTCTTCATTCAAGTAATATATAAATCTTCTCGAATGTAAAACGAACGACCTACTCTGAACAGTAACCCAAATATGGCACTGTGTATTCGGTTGAATAGCCAATCATTTCAAATCAAGTTGAGCGGGTCTGCATCGTTATTTTGACGAAGTTTGAAACCAGCGGTAATATTTTGATACTTCATCTAGATTTAAGAAGATTCTTGCCTTGACAACTGCTCGAACTCCCGGGTTGGCATGCTCTAAAGGTTTGTTTACGATTTCCAGCCGTTTTCACTTTCACTTTCAGATCAGTACATTGTGCATGTTGTGAATGAATGAAACTAATCAAATTCACGCAAAACGACGCTTTGTATGTTATTTAATACTGCCAGGATATTAGATAAGTATTTTTGACAATTTTGGGATTAAATGTTTATGTGCGTCACGTAATTCTGTAAAGGTGTATGAATTAAACAAGACAAAGAAAAACATATTCTGGAGTTGGACTAAAATGAGTAGTAAAAACCAAGTCATGCCGTGAATTTGAAACTGAAAACCGGATTTTTGCTTATTACAGAGAATTTTCACTTTCAAATGTCATAAAACTTAGAGTTGGATGAGAGTTTCAACTCCAAATTTGATAAATAAGTTTGTTTTATTCTGCCTAGGCCGTTAAACTGTGTCCATTTTCTTTAAATGTTTTGTTAACATTTTATTTATATTTTTTTGACACACGTGTATTTTGTACTATATTCCGTAATGTAACATTAGATCTGTCACTGTTTAAAACCAAAGAATGAAAATGAGAAAATTCTGTGACGTAAGCGGTCCAACATATCTCCAAGCGGTCCAACATCTCACTCAGCGGTCCAACATCGATTTTTTTATGCCCGCTCAGCAAAACATTAAAAATGTTAGACTTTTTTCTGTATAGATTTGTATAGGAACAATTTTTTAAAGGTATAACAAATAAATTTGTTTTATTTTGTATTTTAAACCGTGTCCATTTTCTTTAAACACAGGTAAAGTGAATTCAGTATGCAGATTGTTGAAGGGAAAACAGCAAGACAGGGCGAGGAAGACGACAAAACATGATTACCCAGATTTAAGATCCCAGTGTTCTTTGGTACAAGCACATTTTTATAATAAATTTCATGAAATCTGTTACTTGAACAAACATTAACATTATTTAGTGCGTGACTTGCTCGGGAGTCAATATCATCATATATTTGTAAAAAAAAAAATTTCCTTTGTATAGTCTCAAGCTACTCAGCCTACCATGAGAAAATTAAAAGATCTGTCATGAAGAAGAGGCGGGTTCTCAACTTTCATATTATAAATGGCAAGTATTGTTTAAGATCAAATTTTAGATTATTCTTGATAGAAAAACATAAACATAATATAAAGGTGTTTGTTAATTCATAGCTATTATTTGTGATTGCACTGTGTATTAATTTTCAAAATCAATTCATTCTTTGGTGACCATGTTCAGTGGTTTGTTTCAAACTCATAATTTTTTATAAAAATATTGACTATATTAATTTGTCCATATGCAGAAAATGTTAATCACGGTATGAATTCTATTTCAGCATGATTGTCATCTTCAATTTGAGGGACTCTCACCTAAAGTCCTTTAACTGTTCCATATCAGGAAAAAGTTCATGAGCTGAAACATGCGATTGGAGAAAAAGGTACATATATCCTAAACCATAGCTTGAGTATCATTCTGTATACATGTACAGCTAAACTAAATATGTAGCACTATATTGTTCTCTTTGTAAACTGACAACAGAGTAGTCAGGAAACCTATGATTTCCCAATATTTCAGGGATTTATTCTTTGTTTTTGTATAGTACCCTTAAAAAAATACATAGTTCTCAAATTGTAATGTATAGGCTTTTTGTGATAAGGGATACATGACCTAACCATTGATTCTTCATATGAAATGTCAATAACAAGAGTTCCGCTCATTAAATTCATAAATTTGCATTTTTTGCTTTTTAAGGTAAAAGGTCATTTTTAGAACTATTTATTTATAAATTAGGTTGTTTCTTGTTTTTATTTTTATAAATCATGGTATTGTGAATTCTGATAACACAGACGCCTTTGAAAATATTCATACTTATGTGTGGCACTGAAAAAATACTTATAGATTTTCTTTTTCTTTTAGGAAAAGCATTAGGAAAATGCCTGCACGGGGAAAAAAGTTTTGGACTCTGAAAAGGGAGGTGTGACAAAAACATTTTGACATTTGTTGATTTCCACTAAAAACAATATCCACAAGAAAGAGGACATAGTTTTATGTTGATTCACAACTTTAATTCAAGAATGTACAGTTGGTTTTATTATAAAACATGTCAGTGACACATACAAAACAACCATATTCGTGAAATGTACTCTGTCTTTGATATGTATGTAATTTGCAGGATAGGATGTGGGCAACATATACTGCCAAGAATCTTGATGATTTTGATCTTATGTTTGTAAAAAGAAATGTTTTGTATTGTAATAAACAAAGTTAAAGTCAGCTTTTTTATTGAATTTGTATATTAATTGTGATGTTTACATTTCCGCAACTTATCAATTTGGAAGAAAAAAACTTTATATTTATAATTTGAATAAGGCTTCATTCACTGGAATGGAAAACAGAGCTTATTAACTTTTGTGGTTATTAAAGATGGTATTTAATTAAATTTAAGGTTTGTAAATATCAGATTGTGGTTATTAAAGATGGTATTTAATTAAATTTAAGATCTGTAATTATCAGATTTAATATATACTAAATACTGTGTTTAATGGTTGTAAATATTAACTTTACTTTTTTGTAAAGTCAAGATAAAGTGGGACATTACATCATATTTAAGTGCATGTAAAGTTAATGTAAAGGTTACCTTTTCCAACTTTGACTTTTTTCAGAAAAGCCAATTAAAGGCATTGTAAATGATAAATTTACATTATCTTTACTTGTTTTGTAAAGCCAAATTTTCACGCAGTGAAGTCTGTGTTCGTTGCTATTTCATGTCGTTAACAAAAGTATCATCCTTAACAAAATAATTATAGATGAAAATGTAATTACATATAAGACTTATTAAGTCTTATTTCTTATTCATTATTTTTATATTCAGTATGTTCAAAAGATATGGAATCTCAGATCCAAACATCAATATCACAAGAAATTTTTTTTTTACTTACATTGTACCTATATACCCTATTTTTGGACCTACCCTTACTTAAGTCTCCTTGTTAACATGGTCAACAATATGTTACCTAACCGCAGACCCTGGCATTTTTCTTTGTTGAATATCAGACCTTTTGAAAGGGTATATGAAAAACTAATAAGTACAAAATAATGATTTGATATACATTTTTTCAGGCAACAGGTTTAATTAAGCTACAATGCACTGAGCCAAATGCAATATCTAAACGAAACAGTTTTTTTAATGTTAGCTACACAGGCCTATGCCCAGTGAAAGCTGAGAAATGCGCTTTGTCACCTCTACCTATGCAGCTGCAGAATTGATCGAAAAATATTGCATCATTTCACGAAAAAATAGTTACAATAGCAATTCAAAGCAAACTTACACTGCAAGGAGGCCACAATAGCAAAACCACAGAACGCTCCAGCAGGCCAACCGCATGGTGCAACCACTCTACGTAAACGCTAAAGTGAAAATGCAACCGGAACAGACATTTCCGGTGTGATGCTTCTTGTACTTTCGTACTAGAAAGGGTAATTATTTACAAATCGCAAGTTTTTTCCCACTACAATAAACACTTTGCAGTGGAGGTTGATTAAAAGAAAGGACTATAGGTCGACTATAGGTCGATGACAGCTTTCTCAGGTGCTCTCTCTTTCTCTCTCTCTTTTTCTCTCTCTCTCCTTCTCATTCTCTCTCAATTTGATCATCTAAACTGAAATAAAGAGTAAACTTTAAACTGATTTTAGCAAGTAATTTTCGGATATCACTTTTTAATAAGCATTTAAGAGGTTTTAAGGATCACTGCAAATAAAAATATGACATTTATCGGTTCAATATATCGTTTGTCCGGTGCATGGTGAACATCGTCCGATCCATGGTGAATTTTAGCTCTTTCAAAAAAATGCATTTTTAAAAATATTTTCTGTGTATATAGCAGAAAATTGTATCAAAAATTCATATTTTAATCGCATACTATATTTATACTTTATTTTCATAATATCTGATGGATAGCGATATCCCTTGAACATGTTAAAGTAGAAAGGCGTCCGATCCATGGTGAATTCACCCTAACTGTTTTGGAAATGTTTCTTTGAATTATTTAGAGCGTCTACGTTTGATGTTTCTCCTGAGAATGAGGTAAGTTCATTCCACACAATACCTTGTCGTTTCTGTGCAGCCTCTTTCTGACGTGCTTAATTTGTGTCTTCTTCGGGTATGTTGCGGATTCACACTTTGACTAAGGACAATGTCCCACCGGCATCATCCCGTGCATTGCATTCCATTGGACAGCGATCGACTTGTGTTCTGTCTTTTTAGACATTCTATTACCAGCACTTCCTTCACCAAATTAGCACTTGTCTGTAAAGGAAAGAATTGCAAAGATTCTTCATTACGATTCTCGTATAAATGAAACTCATCAACTTGTTCTAGTATGTTGACATGCACCAGTACCCTTTATATTCTGTTACTATGTACCTACCTTTCAACAAGATATCTCTCAAAAAGAATTCTACAACTATGTCAAATTGCGAATACATGGATATAATGACGGACCAGTCTTCGGGGCCATAAAACTTAGTCAGCTCAATTTTGAGATCAAAATGTGAGACGGTCTAGGATTTTGGTCTCATTCTCACGTTAGGTGTGCCATAAAAAGAACCACGTACTCTAACTCTTGATTCCCGCCTACATTTTGCACCCTTTAAATTCAATTTTAATTGCAATTTGGCCATTAAATCTTGGTTTAGTACAAAGAGCAGTTCTATGGTAATTGATTAATTATTTTAATTCCAGCTCTAGATGGTAAATGATCATTAATTTCAGCTCTCAAAAAAAGGGGGGTAGACGATATTTTCTAGTGAAATCGAACTTTCAAGAATCACTATATTTTGAAATAGTCTTCAATATGATTAAATGTATTTCATATCTTTTCTTATGCTTTACACAAATAAATAAAACATATATAAATTATTAAAATACAATAATTTAGTTGTAAATAGCTTTAGACTTGGTGAAAAATCAACATTTTTTCGTTTTTTGTCTATAAACATATGTTCCCCCCGTGAAACACAAAAAGCTTTGGCATAAATTTGTAAAATGACAGTCTATATACCTGTAGAAAGGAATTTTTGTTTCATGGGGGGGGGGGGGGGGAAAGATGTTTTAAAAATATTTTCCGTTTTCCATTGATTTCTATAGTGAAATACTCAAGTTTTACCATAATTATAGAGTTATCTTTCTTTGGTATCCCAAAAAAGTAACGTTTTATGAAAATTCATATAAATATCTATAAAAATTCTGAAAATCATTCAAATATGTTAACTTTTGAAAATTGACTTAGAGCTACGCGGGAGAACAATACTATCGTTCGTGGTTCTTTGCCGTCTCGGTCTCAGTCTCACTTTCTTGGTTTGGTCTCACTTTTGAGCTCAAAAAGTTAGACCACGTAAAAGGTGTCTAACTTTATTTTTTGGTCTCACTTCCAATATTGCGTCTTCGGCAGCGAGATTAAATATTTTCAACATCATACAGCGAAGGAGGAAGGCACCACGAGTTTTTCGAGATCGGTCGAACCCTTTGGAAAACATGGATAAGGAGGAGGTTTTTTTCTCGCTTTCGCTTTCGACCAGCGACAATTCTATTCCTTGACGACTTGTTCTTGAATGTCTGAACTATTTGTGTACATGTACTTGCCCTATACATGCCCTGTAAGGGGGAGATTATTTACTTTGGAGCCAAAAGTTGGGGATGATAGATACATTCATAAATTGTCTTATAAAGGGAAGGATTTTGGGTAAGAAATTTTTATGTTTATACATGTAATTATAGATCAAAACTTATTGAAGAATTGTGCCCCCAGCACACTCATATTTGCTTTCAAGCATATTTTTACTTTTAAGCTCTACTGGTCAGAAGAGTTTATGCCTAGGTGTCAATCGCCAGTCCGTCTGTACAATTTTTTTTTAATGCAACTCCTCCTACAGATTTGGTCTGCTCTCGATGTAACTTGGCACATAATTCTTTTCATCAATTTTGATTTCGTTGAACAGTGTTGCCATAGTTAGTAAAAATAAAAATTTCTCTTCCTTAGTAATACGTAAAAACCAGAAGAGCTACAGTTTGATCCGAGACTTCTGATAATGCTTTTTGAGGCAGTCGTCAAAAATGTATTTAAATTTTGCTTAAATTGTATAATTTTATCTTTAGATTTATGCTGAAGATTTCATAATTATATGGAATGTAAATTTCTGTGAATTTTGTCAGGTTAATTATAGACATTTTTATCTTTTTCTAAATTGAATTTCTATATTTTAACTGAGAAAACTTTTTAAATTCTCATGTTTGACTCATGACACAGTAATCCTGTTTTCATTCAGTTTAAATTTATATATGAGTAAGTTCTTGTATGAAAGCAAACTTGCAACTCCATTCTCTAAGAACTTGATTTTTATGGTGTTTATTTTTTTTTAATAAAGGATTGATGCTCTACCAGTGGGTGGTTCATTTGGTTGACTGCTGATGACGATCATTACCGTCCAAAAGTGATTGAAGACTGGAAGGATTACCTGTTATTTGTTTTCTTGCATTACGACCAATACCACCTGGTAAGGAATTGCTTGATGATTATGGGCGAGGAAAGATGTATCCTTGTGGAAGAAAGGTAATGATACTTCTGCACATGATTTGTGTGTGTAATTGTGTGATTGGTGAGTAGAAAAACAAAGTAATAATTTTTTTTAAATGGCTTTAATTTGTGCCGTCATGTGTAAATGTAATCTTTCAGAAGTTATACGTAAATAACTTTAAATGACCTGTCATAAAAACTTACGACTTTTCAACTTTATACACAACAATTCCCCACAACAAATTAAAATCCAGGCTTTTTGATATCATTGACAGCTGCTTCTTCAACAAAAATGGAACTCGTAAGTTTACTTACCTCGTCATTGGTCATTTGAAAAATTATTGTTAAAACAGATTCTGATTGCACACATAAGTACTCTGAAGTTGACATCAAGAAGATGCTTGAGTTTCTGATTGACAATATCTATGTGGTTTTTGGAGACCAGGTATTCCAACAATCTATTAGAATTCCTATGGGTACAAATTGCGCTCCGTTATTAGCAGACTTATTTTTATATTCATATGAAGCAGAATTTATGCAAAATCTTTTGCGTGAAAAGAAGAAAATACTTGCTGTGGCCTTCAACTCGACATTTAGATATATCGACGACGTATTGTCAATTAATAATGATAATTTCCATTCCTACGTCGACATGATATATCCTGGTGAGCTTGAGATAAAAGATACCATAGAGTCCGACACTTCTGATTCATACTTGGATATTTTTTTTGAAAAAGACATTAATGGTAATCTAACAACCAAGCTATATGATAAAGGTGATGACTTTAACTTTTCTATCGTCAACTTCCCTTACTTATGCCTTATGATTCGATACGCAACAGCATGCTCTACGTATGAAGAATTTCTTAAACGAGGTAAATTATTGACAAGCAAGTTGATGAAACAAGAATATCAACAGTCTCGTTTAAAGTCATCATTTCATAAACTTTATGGTCGATACAATGACCTTGTCAGCAAATACAATTTATCATTGAATGAAATGCTGACTGACGTTTTTCAAACCAATTGTTAGTCCATTATTTATACACTGAATTGACCACGGATTTTTTCCGTTATTTCCTGATTATGACAACGAGCACACGGCGGGTGTGACCGGTCGGCAGGGGATGCTCACTCTTCCATGGCACCTGATCCCACCTCTGATGTTTCGGAGGTCCGTATTTGCTCTGCTCTTATATTGTATATTTGTTTAATGGACGTTGAGATTGAATACTGTTCGTTATTTCCATATCCTTATAGAGGTCGTGAAATCTGTATTGAAGAAGAAAGGGGATAAGCTACAGGGTCCATATATCAGAAGTAGCGCAAAATGGGTAGAGGAAGGTGAAAAACCATCAAAGTACTTTTCTTCATTAGAATCAAGAAACTTTACAAGCAAGATAATACCCAGATTAGAAGATGATGATGGAAATGTTATTTATGACCAAACAGAAATGTTATGAAAAGAAAAGGGTTTTTATGAACAGTTATATACAAAAAGTACAGATACTACAAATACTGATACATGTATATTCAAAGAGTTAAGAAATTCCTAAGCTTTCATACAAAGAATCAGAATCTATAGAAGGCGAAATTACTATGGAAGAAGCCTTTTCTACACTTTACAAAATGAAATCAAATAAATCCCCTGCAGAATTCTTCAAGATGTTTTGGAAATATATTGGTGTTTTTGTAGTTAACTTTATTAATTATGGATATAAGCATAACAGTCTATCTATTACACAAAAACATGGATCCAAATGCTCTTCCTAATTCGAATCCTCCCAAGAGTCTAGATGCGCAC